TAATAATAATGAATTCGCAATTTTGATGAAACTGAGAATTTATTATAAAAACGGATTCAATTTTGCTTTAAAAAAAACTACAAATCTTTCTAACGTCAATATCAAAATAAGTCATTTTATAAAAAAGCAAATAACCAGTAATCAAAAATGTTTCTTTTCACTATTGAATTAGTTTGTAGGCTGTTGATAGAACTTGTTATTGGTCATTTGCTTCATTATAAAACATACATTCAACTCTGCAATATAAATCAAAAGTTTGAAATAGTAATTCAAACAGTTGAATTAAACAAAATCAAAATAAATCTAAAATTAGTAAGCTGCCTAGTGAACAAAAATACGCAAATGACGTTAAAAATCTATGGAAAGATTTTAAAAAATTTTTTGATATGAAATCTGAGCTGGATCTGGACTTTTCATTTATCAAAGTGACTACTTAAATCTGTGAATTACACAGGAAGAAAGGCATTGCTAACTCTAAACTGAATAACTTTTACCAACGAAAAACTAATCTGCAGAAAATAACTGTCGAAGCAGTACAGGAATGGGTTGATAAAGAAACAGTGAATGAAGACATCAGTAACAACAATAATGATATGTAGCATAAATTTCTCTAGAGCGATCAAAGTATAAGTATACTCATCAATGGCTTTGGATTTGAGTATTCCTCCCATATAATCGCTCTAGTGAATATGCAAATTAGATGTACTGTACATATTTTGTTTTAAAAGTAATAAATATAATAGGAATTGATTGTTGTAACTATTACATATATATACTTAATTTTTGCAATTCACATTCGAACTTCTGAAAACAAAAAAGCGCTTAATTGCCAGTTATTCCTAAGACTCTTAATATAAACAACAGAGTTCTCAATATCTACACAATTATTTCACTTCTAAAAGTGGTCATTTCCATTATGTATATTGTTCTAGCAGGAATACAATATAATAATTGGAACATTGTTCTACAACGTGATATACAAAGAAGCGTATAAAAGAGTTTTCCCTTTGTTTTTATTATTCTTTGTTTCTGACAAAAGCATGGAGGGTTCCTGATCTACTTTGTCAAGTATACTGGATCCAGTAATTATGGTTGATTTAGCACAAAAATATCACATATTTGTGTAAGTAAAATGTATAAACAGGGCTGAGTTAGGCAGACGCAGATCGCGACTCTTTTTTTATTATCATTCACTAACCTTCTCATACTTGATGACATACCGCTTACTATAGATGATATTCCTAACTGGTTTTTTCATCAGGTTTTAAAGAAGAATAGAGGTGCTACAGATGATAAGATCATCAAGGCATATAAGAAAAAACAAGGTAAGCAAATAAGTGACACAGGTTCATTGGGAGGACAGGAAGAGAGTTTGAATCTTGTTACTAGTTTTATACTATATGACAAGAAAGAGAGGCAGTTAGGCATTATTAGATTATACGTAACCTGTTTAAAAGGTAAATAAGCAAGATATGATACGTTTGAGTTTGTAAACTCGTTTGAAAGGCGGAGGAGATAAGGGACATTATGGGTTAAATTGAGAAACAGAGGAAGAGCATTATGAGGAGAAGCAACAGGGATTCATAGAATAGCCATGGAGAGAGTAGTCAAAATACATTGCTGCGCGTTTGTTTAACCACTTATTCTGATATTTTTGTCATATTTATTATATCTCTTCCTACATATATTTATACATTATGAAAATTTGTTGATATGTTGATTCTATAATTTTTTGTACTTGTGTAATATCCGCTTACTCACCTATCTATCCATATTCGTATTCCTTCATAATCATTGGTAAGTAACCTTCTTTGCAATGTATCTTTACAAAATTTATGTCGCTATTCATTATCTCTTATCGTAGGTGTTAACTAATGATTTTGCCTATCTCATATCTTTGGTGATTCTGTACCTTTTAGAACCAATATTAGATTTCAGATATGATAAGAAGTAGTACATTTCTGTCAAGAAAGCATTTTCAGACTCAGAGTACTGTGATCCTTATAGTGTTGCCAAAGCGTTCTGCCAACACGTGACAAAAATATGAAGAAGTGAGACTCAGCAGAGTACTACTCACTGTACTGTGCCCTGATACAAGCTTCAGCTTTTAGTAAGTCTCAACTGATGGTAAAGGTCAGGAAAACCTTATCCGTTTCATACGTTTGTCTTCGCAAAGAAGATAGTGGTGGATATCCGCCTTGTTATCCAATTGCAGATATCTTGGCTAGACAAAGAAGGCTTAATGATGGAATCAGACGAAATGTTGACATGATCAAAGTATATGTTGCGTATTTTTGTGCAGTATTCGAGTATATTCAGTCCCTTTTCCACAAAATGATCACTGAAGGATGCATCAAATTAGCAGAATGCTAGATTTTTCAAAGAATTATCGTGGGATTTTTAGGACACAATGGAAGCGAAAATGAAAGAAATCATTGTGCAACTTCCATCTGAGACTGCAAATGCTAATGATCCCAGCTATTTCACAGAATTGGGAAATTTTGTATCCAAATACTGGAACTCGACAACAGCATGTTTGAAAGGACTCTGGAGAATTGATAATTATGAAGTCAAATCACAGTTCTTATTTATTTTTGATGAAGTAAAGATCCTGAATGAAAAGAAGAAAGGAGAGATCTGGAGCAACTTTGAGATATTGTGATATGCCATGATGATGCTTCTTGTACACAGCGATGGTGAAAGAGTGTTTTATATCTTCTTAGACACTACTTCTAAGATCTCTAATTTCAGCCCTCTCAGATATCTAGATCCTTCATTTCGTGTGTATCATAAAGGACGTAAACTGTTTTCTCTATTTGCTGAAGTCACATTTATTGATCTTTCCACCAAAAATATGGTACAAACTTTGGCTGAATCAGCTCTATCGCAGCACTTTTTTAAATTCGGAAGACTATTATAGATAGCCTTATATAAATCTGACCATTTCGGAGTAGCCACTGTCATGTCAATCGTAAGAAGCAAGCTAATTAGTGACATGAATTACAACAATTGGCTAGATTTAAAGAAGAAGGGAGGATGTATCAGCGATATGAAATGCCTTGCAATTCTTGGTTCTCGTCTTTGTTTAGACATCTTTCCTCAAAGTGAATTGACCTTAACACTTACTGCAAGCTACATATGCCCTTGTTTCTATATTAACGATGCTTGAACCACAATTATGACAGGATGTATATCAGAAGCAATACTTGCTAAAGCTTCAGTGCATATCACCGATGAATCTGAAGGGGTTGAGTTGATAAGGGTTCTGGATCCACTCATAAATATGATAAAGGAAGGATTGGTTGAAGAAGGATACTGAGGAGAAGTGATTGCATGTCTTATTTTGTTACATGTGTGGAACTGTGCTTGTAATCCATTATAGCTATTGAACAATGAAGAGAGTTCAAATTGATTTTCTCATTCTATACCTCTGGTATGCTACTTGATGTACCTTCTTACTATAAAGTCTACTGTGAGGTGATTTCTAAGATGAACGAAGACAACATTAAGAAGAGGTTATTAAAAGTATATATCTGATTTAATTATTTCGTTACAATCACGTATATACCACATCCTAAAAATATACTTGAAGCACTTAAGCACAACATTGCTTTTGTCTACAAGTGGAATCAGCAGGAGACAGACTTGATCATTCCTTTGGTATTGGACATTGGGATTTATGATCATATCACGTTAGACAATATTTCATACGTTCTGGTCTCTGTGAAGAATTATCAAAAAAGCACAGATACTAATTACTTCAACAATGTAATAAGCATGAATTCACTATTAAATGTTGAAATAGAACAATTACCCACCTTGCTGTTCCTATTATTATACATGCAATTTAGTGCTAACGTGTCAGGTGTAGATAAAGAATATCACTTTCCGCAAGTTGGTATAATTGCTCAAACCACAAAGTTAAAGATAAAAAAGATTCAACAGCGTGAAAGTAGCAAGGTTTTTCTGGGCATTTGCCACAGAAACAGAAACGGGAGTCTAATGTCAAAGATAATAAAGTGAATAACAGTGATAAGCATATATACAGACATTGCTATCAGTTTGCAGTCAGATTGTTCAGTCTTACTGCATATGATTTTCTGCAGGAAAATAACAGCGGGAATCAGTTGCTAAACACTGTTCAATAATTGCTAGTTGCTTGGCAGAATCCTGTCAATTGTCAAACAGATGAAAAGAAACATTTTCTGGTTTAGCAAATGCAACTATTGGTGTATGCGTCAGAGGAATCTGCTATAAGTTCACAATCGCAGTCAACTCTTAGGGTGGAAACTAATGTTCATTATGGAACTGCAAAAAGCAGAAGTTCTTTAATACTAGCATCTTTTAATTCAATAGAGCAAAAACTTATTTCTAATTTGAAATTAAAATTGTGCGAATCATTGAAGAAGGCAGAAGGTACCTCCAAAAGAAAACAGCAAAGTAATATAAGTTGCAGATGCTATGTATTTTCAGACAGTAGAGTGCAGCTCAAAAATAAAGTCACTTTCTCCATTTTAGAAACCAATTCAACTGTATGCATAAACCATGAAACTGAAAAAGAAAAGCCTAAAGTTAATATATAGGATTATATGTATATAGTAATACTTTGAAGTATGTCGTAATTGCTTGTATATTCATTATTGTAAGTTTGAAGTAATTGCAATAAAATAAAATAAAAATTATATATAGGAATACCTATATATGAAAAATAATAAATTCAATGGTTCGATTGAATATGAAAAAGCCATGCGCTTCTTAGAGATAGGTTACAATTATAGTTGTTCTCAAAAAATTCTAAGAGAAAAGTTTGCTAAAATACGTAAGATGTTTCAAGCTCTTTCTCAATCTGAGCAAGACATATTTTTAATGGCTCAACTAAAAGCAATGAATGGTAGAGAAATAACTGCCAGCCGATGTCTTAAAAGGAAAATACATACTAATAAGAAAACTTTTATTATTAAGATCGCAATATGCTGCTCTGTCAAAAAACGTATCTCAATATGTTAGGAATTGGTCGCACGTATTTTAAAAATATTAGAAATTATCTGGCAATAAATGGTATAATACCACGTGTTCATTGATATAATAGTTGCTACCACAGTGAAGAATTTTTTGAAAACTATGCTAAAATTCATGGATTACCAAGTCCTGGTAGAAATGTCAATCACATTATTCAATCGCTTACACTTTTACCAGCTAAAACGAGTTACAAATTGGTCTATCGTGATTTTATTGCAGGTCTCGAAAATGATAACATATTGAAATTGTTAAAATATGATGTGTTTCGCAAGTTATAGCACTAATTAACATCTTATATTTAAATCATGAGTCTACGAACAGATTTATGTGACACATGCTAATATTTTTAGAACAGCTTATAGTATAATGCTCATAAATGAAAGATTTATTGAAAAAATTCAAAGAACATCTAGTAAAGGCTAAGTTAGAGAAAAATTATTATAACAAAAATACGAAATTAGCAGAATAACAGAGAAAATTGGTAGATGAGTATTTTATGAAAAGAGGTAAAGTTGACTATTGTAGTGTTGATACTATTACTCATTATAGTTACGATTGAGCGTAAAACGTTCACGTTCCCCATTTTAATCAACAGATAAGCAAGATTTATTATCTTAGTTCACGTAAAGTGCATTTATTTAGTATACAAAATGAAGCAGTACGTGAACAAATTAATTACATTCTTGATGAAAATGAAATTATCGATAAAGGCCCTAATGGTATATTTAGTATAGTATTCAATGGAATTAAGAGATTGAATAAAGGTGAAAAATATTTAAAGATTACTTGCGATAATGTGGGTGGGCAGAATAAAAATAATGCCACCATTTGATTTTATCTATATTTAGTAATCTGCAAGTATTATGAAAGTATTGAATTAAATTTTATGATACCAGGACATACTAAATTCAAGTGTGATGGTAGTTTTAGATTGATTAAAAAGCTTTATCAAAAAACAACTGTAGATTATGTGAATCATATTATTGAGGTTATAAAAAATTGAGTACCGCAAGATTAAACAAAGCTCAGTGCTATGACAATGGACAAGGTTTTCAGTACTTAGATCTTAATTCTGTATTGAGAATTTTCTTTAAAAAATTGAATGGTTTACAAAAATATCAGCATTTTCTCTTTGAAGCAACTTATCCAGAAGTTGTCAAAGCTCAACTAGTTGCTAATAGTTTGTATACTGAATTTAATTTATTGAAAATCAGAAAAGCAAGTGTTTCTAAAATTATTAAAGAAATTAAAATTTTTTCTATTTTAGTTCTAACTCTGTCTCCTTTGGATTACAAAAGATAAGAGTATCTTTATCATAATATTCGCCCATTTGTTAGAGACAAATTCAAGAATATTACTTATCTCAAACCAATCTATATTAATAATGAATAAAAACATTTTAGTTAACTGCACATTTTATTAGTTTATTAGTTTTGTTTGTTTTTATTACTATTAAATTCTTTATATTTAATCTTGTAATATTAAAATAATAATATAGGAATTAAAATCATGATAAATCAAAATAATATTTTAACTGAAGAGGAAATAAAAGAACTAATTGGTAGTTTAAACTGAAATCCAAATGAGTCAGAGATAAGAGCAGTTACAGATTACTTTTGATTTCACCCTTATGCTTTAAAATATTTAGAGGACAAAGAATTTAAAAAAAGTCTTGTTCGTCTTATTTATATGCATCAAAATGCATTTTCTTGATAAGTAAAAGCTGATAAAGAAATTAAAAGTTTATAATCCTTAACAACTAATTTAAAGAAAGAGAAGAATGGATTGCTTAAAAAAACTAAACAATTAGAAGCAGAATAAAAAGTCTTGAAAGAAGCATTAGAATTAGAGGAAAATATTTTTAAATGCCATTTAGATGCTCTTGAAGTAGTTAGACAATGGAGAGTAAGGCAAAGCAAAGAAAAAGATGACAACTTAGAAAAAGCTTTGAAAAAAATAGAGATACTAGAAAATGTTGTGACATAGTAGAATTATTTAACAAATAAGCAATTTTAAGAACTGCTAACTTTGCTAAAGAAACAAAACAAATTTAAACTCCTAATTAACAAAGTAAAAAGCAGAATTAAGCAAGTAAAAGCAATAACTCAAGAGAAGTTCAACACTTACATCTTACAAAAGGATAAATAATGAAGTTACATCACGAGATTAAACAAGTCGATTATGTATAAAAATAATCGATTATAAATTACCTTGCTAATCCTTACCCCCTCCAAAGATTCGCAAATATAAAAAATTACAATAATTATCATTTTTAAGAAATTGCATATTTATTTATTTTTATATATTTTATATACAGAGGGCCGTCAAAAGTCTCTGAATGCTTTTTGGCTCAATAAATCATTTAAAATTTTTAAAATTTAATTAAAAAATTTATTAAATAT